CAATCTGATTATCAAAAATAATCCTGTTGCAGGATACCTTTAGGTATGGACTAACTGAAATCAACTCTAAAGAATATTATACAGCCAGTCACACAAAATATCCATTATTCCATTCTTTTTATTAATAAAAAATAATAAGAAAGTTTCTGTGTAGCCTGATAAGCACACTGCCAATAACCTAATTGTTTATAAACTTTAACAGCTAGAATAGTCTGTCTGAGATAGACAGATAAGGACAAACAATTTGGTAAACATGAGTTGCTTCCCCTTAAACTGAGACAAAATGGAATTGTTAAATATATGCATGTAACATGCTTGAGCTGAATGAGCTGTCTAGTATTTACTGTATTAATTTGAATAACTTAATATAGGGAGATTGACATATTTCTAGGGATATTTTATTTTTATTTTTTGGGTGCACTTGCTTCACTAGAGCTAGATAGGTTAACAACTCATCTTTAATCAAGGAGTTCTGCACTTACCATTTGGGGTTTTAAAAGGTATATTTGAGCTAATAATTCTTTTTTCTGTACTAATTGTGGAGGGGGTTGGAATTTGAGATGGCCTGAGATAGCTTAGTCAGTACAGCCCCCATATAGTATTCTGATTGTCCGGGGTTTGGTATCGGGGCAAAATGTAGAGCCATGGTGGTATATAGCTGAGACGTGTTCTCTACACTCATGAAAACATTGTGGAGTTTAATATGGCAGGGATGTCACAGTATTAAATGTTCAATGATTAGGAAGGGGATATTGAAGAAGCCTTATAGCTCAGTTGGTAGAGGTTCGGAATGGTTTTCAATGTGTCCATGCAAGCCTCCCAGGTTTGAGCCCCAGTCAGGCTGCACAGTTACTTTCGGGATCCAACATAGGGCCAAGACTGTATAAACAGACATCTCACTATGTCAGTTCATCAAATATTTTAGGAGATATTTTTAATAAAGTGGGGGACTATGTTCATGTATAGTGCGGATCACATATTAAGAGAAAAATGTTTATGCGGTAGAGCTGCAGTATAGTATTCAAAGGGTTCTGGGTATGATATTCTGAGGGTCTTTGTTTTGAGTCTCAGTCAGGCTGCATATTTTTCTGACTCTGTGTTTAATAAATATTTCCAGCTAATTATTTGCTTGTCTGCATTTGTTAATGATTATGTCTTACGTCAATATTGTAAAATATTTAATTACTGTCTAGTAATGTGATATTATATTTTATAAGACATTGTAGCAGTACTAAATTTTACAGCTTTTAAATAAGGGGGGGGGTAGTTTGCATAGACTTGTGTGGACCTAGGCAGGTTGCCTCAATTAATTGCCTCCTCACCAGTGAGGTTTTTTTTAGGGTAGCCTGTAGGGATTTATCATTTAGATTATTATAATACCACAGGGATATTTCCCTCTACTGGGTGTAATCAGAAACTATATAGAGTTCTCCTCTGTAACATTTAAAACAACAATGTGGATTTACTTGGAGTTTCATACTATCACCTTTTCCACAGGGGCCTGTGATGGTATAAAACGGTGGTATAAAAGTCCTATTCACATTGTACCTATTCAAGGACGAATTTCAATAAAGCAGGGATATATGTCATGGTTCCAAACTGTCCACTATTTAGGGAGGTGATATGTAAGCAGCCTGATAGTTCGGTTTTTGAGCTGCAGAATGGTTTCCGAGGGTCCGGGGTTCAAGTCTCGGTAAGGCAGCATATTTTTTAAACTTGTGACAGTAATATAAAAATCTTGCACTAATGGAGGTGCATGAGGTTGACCGGTTTCCTCATTTTCCTCATTTTTTCCCTCTTAATTACAGTTTCAGAAACAAAATAAAAGTGCATTCTTAATATTTATATATAATCATATATTGCAATGCCCTAGAAATTTTACCTTTTTTGTGATATCACTGGATTTCAGTATTGTTTATTTTTACTTTCACTTTCGTTTTGAAAAGCTTTTACTGGCGACAACACAGTAAATCAAGCGGTGCCCCAATAAAACATACAGGACATCAACTTAAATCTACGTATTGTGTCAGCATTTTAATCCTTCCTGAAAGCTTTTCCCTTAATGTTATCCATTTCCCTTAATGTTATATGTGGTAGAATCCTGTGTTTTTAATCAGTTTTCGTGACTTCTGTCAAAATAGTTAATTCCTTACTGTTACCTCAAGATTTTAAAGTTGATTGTTTATGATGCAACCTCACTTATAATATAGATTTGCCTCATAAATCCATCTGAATTTAATTGTTAGCACTGTACATTTATGATAATTTGCAATGCAATTTTCCATGTCGGCCATGTTGGACTATTACGTGTCAGGTTACGTAGTGAATGCAAGGGATAGTCAAGGGATAGCTCTTTATCCGATTGCGCATAAAGAGGAATCCGTTTAATTATTTTACTTTCGATATTAGCACATGAAAGCTTATATTTTTAAAAATCATTAGTTGAGGCTGTGGCAATAAATAATTTTAGTGTTAGGTTGTTGAGTGCATTTCAGCTCAACATTTCTAGCTATCATTTAATCAAATCGCTAAACGGTCTACATGTAGCTAAAGTTGTTTAAAACTTAATATAATTACGATATTTTAATAAAGGTTTAGAAACGTTTTCATTTTGCGTGAGTTTTAGCGTGCGTATATCGTTGAGCGTATTTCGTTTAGCGTATATCGTTTTGCGTGCGTCTGCGTATTTTGTTTCGTATAGCGTGCTCGTATAGCGTGTAACGTGCGTGCATTTGTTCCAGAGCGTGCGTTTTGCGTGTAACTGAAACGTTCACCCTACTGTTATAATGATATCATAACACATACTAGAGAGAATGGTGATATAATAATACACAATGGAGAGAATGATCATATAATAGTATATACCAGAGAGAATGAAAATGTGATAATATAATGATACACACACTGGAAAGAGAAGGGATATGATAATACACACTGGAGAGAATACTGATATAATAAAATATACTGGAGAGAAAGTTGATAATTATACACATTTGAGAAATTGATGACCTTATAATACAAACTGGAGACAAAGATGATATAACAAAGCACACTGGAGAGAAAGACGATATATATGTTATTTTGGTTACCTCTTCAGGGGGTATCAATATTTACAAAATCTTCTCTTTTGTAAACAGAAGATCTACAGTACTACATTGTACATTCACATAATCATGTAAGCATGTGAGCTAGGTAGGCACTGGAATAATAAATAGTACAATCCTTACCAAATGATGGAGATTCTTTTAAGTCATATAAAGAGCTATCTCTCTTTTATATCATTCATAATAAATATACACTTTACCTGGAGGAGGTAAAATACCCAAACGAACTCATGATTTAAATCCACAGCTATTTATACATCTTCAATCATATCAATAACATAGTTCATAGCTAAGTTCATAGTTCTTAATCATAGAAGTCCATTACTCAATGATACAGTGGTCCCTTTTCTTACATTTATTTATTGGTCCCTGTGCTTATATTTATTTATGACAATGCAAGAGTTATTAAAATCCAATAATTCATCAAAGTACCTAATATATATAAAACATTACTTTCATAGATAATAAAATATCAACTTACAGATCTGTAGGATGTTTAGCCCTTTTACACAATTAAGATATACGCCATCATCCACCCAAATGAATCTCACCGAGTGCTTCTGTGAAGAACAATGCATCAATTATTATATACATGCAAATTAGTCGAAGTTAGTAAAAGATAGAATAAATTAGGATAAAAAGTTGAAAGTAGTAGCCATCTTGGATGTATCTTCGAAATGATACATGTAACAAAATAATAATGATACAGGGGTGGTTGATGATGAAAAGATTTTAGGACTAGTAGATGAAAGGGGTGAAGAGATGTGCAGAAATGTTAATGTTCATAATCAGTTGGTGCTAAAACAAAGATCTGAAGGCAATGCGTTTCTCGATAAGTTTGAAAATATCTTTAAAGACGCTCCTGGAACTGTGGATTATGAAGTTCACAAGATTGAGCCGACTGACAAAATGTCAACTTGTGATAGGCTCGATACCTGAAAAGAGACACATTGTAGATTATTCATTTTGTTTGAAAACAGTGGAGTGTTTTCTTGAGTATATATATGTTAACAACAATTTAATTGATATCTACAGCTATACATTGTTTGTGGTGTAGAACAAATGTAATGTTTCAGTGAACAGTAATTTTTAGAACTGTCGTTATGCGCTCTTTGTATAAAGATGAATTTGATTGTGTTGATCGTATTTGATTTGGATTAATTGATAGTAAATAGTTGTTTTGGTTGTTGCATTATATTTGGTTGTTGAGTTATATCTGTTTGGTAATAAATATAATTGGTTGATATTTGTTGAGTTGTATGGAGTGATTTTATCTTGTCAAGATTATCTTAGTTGATATTTTAATTTTGAAGTTGTATTCTGATGTTGATTAGCTTTTGTGAAGTTAATATTGTTGGTTGAATGTTTGTGGTTTATACTGTATCTTAGAGTTGTAAAAATAGTCATTTTGTGTTCTTCATTTTTGTAACAATATTGATTTGTTTGATCATAAGTTGTTTAGACCTTGGGCTCGCCAGTTGTCTAGTATAAAAGACGCAAACGCGAAAAGATATTTTGTATAAGTGGTTAATAAATGGTGTGTGTTTGTTTTGGATGTTATTAATGAAATGATGATCGGAGTTCTTTGGGTTTTTTTTGCGTCAATAATAATCTGAATTTGTTGTTTAAATTTATATATAGATTTGAGAGAGAAAAAGATAACAAATATTACTAACTCAACCATAACATGTTGGTTTTCCAACTAAAAATATCTCAATTTCAAGTCAGGCGGTACTGCCCAGCCTTCATATCTTGGAAATAGGTTATAGGTTTTATTTCTAAATATTTCCTTAATTATAATAAATATTATCAAAGCAGTCATTCTTCTGACAGTCAGATCCTATGTTTTCATGCCTGTGTCAAGAATACAATCGATAACATCATACAGTTAAGTTCGATATATTAACACCATTTCTTACATTTATGCTTAAACAATGTTAGCATATGTTTTTGCGAGATGGCAAGGCCGAGAACATATGACGTTGATGTATTTGCATAATGATAGTCTTTTTATTTCAATTTGAAATTCAGCTTGTAAGAAGGTGTTTTTTTAGTTAGAATTTATTAGAGGCATAAATGATATATCAGTATCTATAAACTACACCACCAGCATTTAAAATGAGTCATGATAATAACAGCGGAGTTCCGTCGAGAACTAAAAATAGAATAAAAGCGAATTGGCTTTTGTTTGTGATTGGACTATTAACATTAATATGCATTTTTGATGTTGTTGTTCATCAACGTAAAATGTCTGTGGTAAGTTTCAATGCACTTTGTGTATACTTTTTTCTTACATTTATAACTATATATATTCTTCATTTAAATGACTTAAAATTTGTTTTATTTATTAAGGTATTTGCAAAAGAGAACGGGGAATATAATGTAAATAATGGAAATGACAAAACACATTATCTATTTAATTATTCATAAACTAAAGATAAATACAAAGCAGACAAAAGGGTTTTTTGACGACTTTTGCTGAAGCAAATATTAAGAATATGCGATAAATGTACCAATAAGTGCTTTTCCAAAATTTAAAATTAAAACATTGACAAAAATATCGTTATAAATCCAGAGCACAAGTAAAGACAAGGGGCAATATATATATAATATTCTTATTATCTTATCAGTTGATCAATATTGTCAATTTCATATCCAGATGCAGATGCAAAGTAACAAAAGTAGATGTAAAAAGGTGATAGACGAACATAATTTATTTCAAATACCTGATGATGACATTATAGACAAAATGGACAACAATTCTTTGTATTTATTGTTTAACAAGTAAGTATAAACAGTTTTGTTGATAAGAAACATATGTTAATATGATCAGAAGAACAATAACTAAATCAGTCGATACCTATCCTCTCCTTCTTTCTTTTGATACATGTATAGAAATGATTTCTGTATTGTCTTTTGAAACATAAATCATATTCTTGTAATTGGTATCGTCAGATTTTCGAAAATTACTTTTCGATAGGAGGTGTTTGCAAATAAAATAGTTTCATACTAGAACAGTGAAGACTTCTTTTGGATATTGTGAGCATAAGATTTTTCTAAGTCATTTATCTATTGTACATTTTAAGGTTTATAAAAGAATTGATTTTTACATGAATCTCACATTAAATGATAATTGCTTCTAATGTTCATATAATACAAAAAAGTGAATTTCAACCTTTTGACAGTCACTTATTTCAAATTAAAGTTTTAAAAATAATAATTATAAGTGTTGTTTTAGGAACGTGTGGTTGAACCAGTTATTTTCACATACCATAGAAGTAATCAAAACGTCATTTGCTTTTTGTTTTATTCTGCATTACAAATTTATTCAAATGTTTCTTGAACGGATATATTAACATTTTTATACTGTTGGTATGTTTGTATTATTCATAGAATAAAATTGCTATGTGCAACTTGAGCACTTCTTTTTGAGAGTGGCAAGCTAGGGGAAATAAAGCCTGTTAATCGTGTTTCCTTCAAAGACCGGCTACATATTTTCTCATATTATTTCGTAAATATAGTGGGCAAGATATATAACTGTGTATTACATAACTTGAGATTTAAAAAAAAACTACAGTGCATTACTTTTAAAGTATTATTAGCTTTAACTTAGTAAGCAATACTATTTGACCCATCTGAAAAGATTATCCGTGTTTTGAATTTAACATACTTAGAAGTTACATTGTATTAAACTTTTATCTTTTAAAGGTCAATAGGTCTGTTACCTTTGTTAAAATTATGCCCTTAAAGATGTAAAGGTATAGATTATCAACGAAGCTGAGTTCGTTCAATACTTTTAATTGAAATGTCCATCAGTGTATGATCTCGGTATATAATTATAATAAGCTTCAAGTAGATTTAACCCAAGAGGTTAAAGTCACATAACAACTTCAAGCTCCAATCAATTATGAATCAGTATCAAGAAGATCAAGCCATGGAACAAACAAATAAAGCAATACTAAATACATGTACATACTGAGATCATTAACACAACACAATTTATACAATTTAAGTCATAGCGTGTCCGTCCGTCCGTTAGCAATTTGGTTTCCAGAGCATAACTTAATTTCCATTTGGCCCACAATGTTCAAACCTCACTTGATGATTGTCCATATTAGGTAGAAGACCCCTATTGATTTTGGGGCCAAAAGGTCAAAGGTCAAGGTCACTATGACCTTAAAAATGAAAACAGTTTCCAGAGCATAACTTAAGTTCCATTTGACCCACAATGTTCAAACTTCATAGGATGATTGTCCATATTAGGTAGAAGACCCCTATTGATTTTGGGGCCAAAAGGTCAAAGGTCAAGGTCACTATTACCTTAACCTTTTACCCCATGAGCATATTGCGAAAAATGGCCGTTTTCATTGAAAAGCCTCTTGTAACAAGTTCAAACTGCTAGGAAACTATGAAAAATGCTTCAATACTAATGAAACTTGGCACAAATGTTGACTACACCATAGCCTCTGTAACAGCATGCTCAATGGTAAATTTCCTGTTACCATGGCAACGGGGGGACATCTCAAAATTGCCAAACATTACTATTTTGCATTGTTTTTTTTCCATCAAAACTGATTTCAAAGTGCTGCAACTTCTCCATGAATTGAAATAGAGTAAAAGGCTTTTCAGCGTCGGTTACTAGTTACCCTAAGATCGACTTGAGGCCATTTTTAGCCTGCCACATGTCCAAAATTTTCTTGGCGATGAGGGGGACTCCGCTCCCCTTCAAACCTCCCAATCAGAAGGGGGCACATTCCCCTTCTGGCAACCCCCTGATGTAATATTTGGATGCGGGACGGCGCCGAAAAAGTGGTCACTTTTTTAACAACATTTCTCAAACAAAAAACGGTGTTTGGGGCCTAAATAGGGCATTTTTTCACTGTTTGAGGCTTCAAAAAGGGGGGGGCAAAAGCCGTTGAAACACGCTTATATAAGGGAAAAGGTTAAAACTGAAAACAGTTTCCGGAGCATAACTTAAGTTTCATTGGACCCACAATGTTCAAACTTCATAGGATGATTGTCCATATTAGGTAGAAGACCCCTATTGATTTTAGGGTCACAAGGTCAAAGGTCAAGGTCACTATGACCTTGATACTGAAAACAGTTTCGGAACATAACTTAAGTTCCAATTGGCCCACAAAGTTTAAACTTCATAGGATGATTGTCCATATTGGGTAGAAATACCCTATTGATTTTGGGGTCAAAAGGTCAAGGGTCAAGGTCACTATATCCTTAAAACTGAAACAGTTTTCGGAGCATAACTTAAGTTCCAATTGGCCCACAATGTTCAAACTTTATAGGATGATTGTCCATATTAGGTAGAAGACCCCTATTGATTTTGAGGTCACAAGGTCAAAGGTCAAGGTCACTATTACCTTAGTACTGAAAACAGTTTCCGGAGCATAACTTAAGTTCCAATTGGCCCACAATTTTTAAACTTCATAGGATGATTGTCCATATTAGGTAGAAGACCCCTATTGATTTTGGGGTCACAAGGTCAAAGGTCAAAGTCACTTTTACCTTAATACTGAAAACAGTTTCTAGAGCATAATTAAAGTTCCAATTTGCCCACAATATTCAAACTTCTAAGGATGATTGTCCATATAAGGTAGAAGACCCCTATTGATTTTGGGGTCACAAGGTCAAAGGTTAAGGTCATTATTAATAACTTAAGTATTAATCAACATTCAGCTGTAAAATTTTATAGGATGAACAGCGAATTCCCATGTCAATATAAAATAATTCAATCCAGTGGCCTATTAAATAAATATAGTAAACTTATAAAATAGTAAAAACAATAATATGGCTTGTACAATTATACATACCAATTGTGGATTGGACTCAAATGACACTCAATGACTCATACAAAAATACTCTCAGTCTTGTAGTGTTACTGCAACATACTGTAATTAAACATGTGCACAATAGAGAACGACAGTGATTTATATTAACTACTGCAAATAGACATTTACTTTAAATATGCTGCCATTATCAGATGCATTGTAAACAAATCATGTACAATCTTATTTTAATAAACTTTAGACACACAGCTCATTTGTAACTCACTTAAACAAAGAAAGCAACCAATATAAAACTTCACCAACCTCAATCCAAAATCCACAATCCTTTTTAAGAATTAATAACCAACTTATCATTATAAATAAATGAAAAACATGTCTGCCTTCTACCAAAAACTGATGACAATTCAGAAAACGGCGGGAACAATTACACGCATGACTAACTAATAAAACAGCCAAGGGAAATCACTCCTACAGATTTCAATCAATACAACTACTACTGATTATTTCCCTTTGGTTACAGGTCTTTCAGAAGTTGTGTGCATTAAGGATTTCATACCATAATGGACATTCTAAATTTAGAATCTTTTGGTTTGCTTTTGACTTTCTTCTTTCACTTTTTATTGGAAGCCCGTGGTCCAGGGGTAAGATATTCGTTTAGGAAGTGAGGGATATGGGGTTCAAGTCGCAGTCAAGGCAACTGTTTTTCTTTTAGATTTTTTGAGTGTCTTTTTAGCGATTTTGACATTTTTTCTTAAGGACTTAGCCACGGTATGCAAAGATAAAGTGTCTCTGTAATGCTTTCAATTTTATTAGATTTCCTACATGAGAAAACACGTTTTAGTTGCTAGAAAAGGTATGTTATTTTTAGCCTGTGAAAAAAGGAGTTCATTTTATGTGCATGCATTTTCCTAAGAAGAAGAAAATTGAAACACAATGAATACTAATTACTAACATTCACTTTTTACAATCTATAGGTCCAAAATGAAAACAGGACATATATAATTTCTACAAAAAACATTTTCATTATGCAAAAATAATTCTTCTAAATATGCCATGGTCATAAAAATATGAGCAAAAATTCAAAAAAATGGGGTGTGGCACTCAAACAATTATTAATGAAAAAGTTTGATGGTGAAAATTTCTATTTTTTGAAAAATAAATGTCTTATACCATTTAGATAAGAAAACAATATGAAAAATTCATATCGGCGAGCATAAGGGTCCGTAATCCTTAAAAACAAAATACACTACTTAGTTCTATATCAAATGAAATAAATGTTATATATATATTCGTGCTTCTTCCAGGTATGTGAATCTTCAACAGTACTACTGCTGCAATATTACTCGCCAAGGTCAGAAACTATCAACAGGAAAAAATGTATGTGAAGATGACTTTTTCAAACCAGGATCAAAATGCAACGTGTATTCTTTTGGGTAGGTTGTTTCTTTAACTGAGCAAATTATCCTTTTTATCCTTTATCCTTATTTTCTTTTTATATGAACTGATCTCAGTGCATTTTAATGAGTGCCTTCTCTTTCGAAAAGGGTTACAAATACAAGAAAGGTATAAGTCAACTTTTAATCATTTGTTTCTGGTCCTTGTACAAACACAAGTAAGGTATTTGTCAATTTTAAAAAAAATTCTGGTCCTTGCATTGTCAAACTCTTTATTACACTTTAATGAACACAAGCGACGAATTGAAAAATATTTTATTATTTTAGTGTAGCAACAATAATAATTTCTTGCTCAAAAATTAAGAATGAACTACAAGATTTAGTAATGCAAATGTACGGTAGCAAATTTTTGCCAACATTTAACCATGTAATTATCACGTAAACTATCTGACTAAGTAGTAACTTGTCGTGTTAACAAGATAAATGACAGATATATATTTTGTTAGATAGGTACGAATAAGTATATGACTTCCAAAAACGCTAAAAGGTGCCAAGAACTGCTAACTCTTACCACTTAAATAATAGATATCTATCCTTTTTTTTGTTATTTTAACTATTAGGTAATTGAAATTGTTATTCAGATGGTTCATGCGATATTATGTAATTAAATGTTTGCCAAAATATCCGACCATACAGATGATCTTGAATTTTTTTTATTTCAATAGTAAATTTTACAACTGTCTCCTAAATTTATTAGTTTTAGGTAAACCACGTTTGGTCCCCATCCAAACGTGTATCATGCTTCAATTAAACACGACATTCATATTTCAACCTTTGGGAACAGAATTACTTAAATACGAAAGCAAATTTAGGACTTGAATATCGTAATTGATCATGCAAAACCAACGTTTATACAATAGTATAAGTCAAATTCATCTCGTGATTGCAAATGTCTGAATATGATAACTACACGGCAATAAAACAGTTTTTTTCAGTTGTTTAGTATACTCTTTTACAGATTATAAGTCAAAACTATTAGCCTAGGGCATTCCATAAATATCAATTTAAAATACGCTCAACACTTTGATATCAGAGAAAAATAATATTTATTCATTCATTCATTTATTTATTTAATTCATGTGCGTATTATACTTAGTATAAAATTATTACTAAATCAAGTCTGTAAAAACGTTTTATTATGTCTTATTCATGCACATCTTTTTTCATTAAGTATTACATAATAATGAATCAGAAATTAAGGAAAAAACAGTTTCTGACTAACATTAGTTTAAATTGAACGCTAAGAACCATTATTTTGATTTCTCTAAAACAAAATCTTTGCAATTGAATAAATATAAATGTGTTAAAGTTTCAGTCCCTTTTCTCAATATTTTATAGGTCAAAGTTTAATTTCGACTTCGAAGAAAGTATATGGAAAAATTTCAATTGTGAAATTCACACGTTTGATCCAAGGTTTGTAGCGTTGTTAAGAACTTTAAGATTTTATGTTTCATAATGAAACTATTTGGGTGCTATTGTTTTAACTGATTAGATAATTAAAAGATGTTAAAACTTATTAAGTTTTAAGTATAAAAGAAAATGTCCACACTTATGACATCTATGAAAATACTTATTAAATTTCTTAATCGCCATGTAGATAAGTATGTTCGTTGATTTAAGCGTATGCCTTATAACCATGGTGTACCTATTTGCTCAGTAACTTTTGCTCAGTAAAATAAAATTGAATAACGTCCATGTCTAGGATAAAGATCAAATATTTACTAAAAGGTATTTTGTTAGTCCCATAGTTGGCAAAAAGTCCCAGGAATCATGTTACACTTAAGACTTTCTAGGACAAACACAGTCCTTATCACTTGGTATATTAATTGATTAATTAAAATGTTAAAGAAATAATTTATGCTTATAATGTAGTTTTAATTAAACTTTTAAGATTAAAATAAAATTTGTATTTACATCACAATAAGTTGTTTGAGGACATAAATGTCAAACATGACTCCAACAAATGTGGTTTTAAGTCAGGCTTTCAGTATGTTTGAGCGTAAGTTAGCAATTTAATATATTTAAAGCAAATTTAAATAAAAAGATCTTAAATAAATGATATAAAGATGTATTTAATCTTAGTCTTGTTCATCTAGCATGCCAGTTGAACAGAAGACATTACCATTTTTCATAGGTTATCACCTGATTGGCCTGTCCGGGAAAAATTTCATTCAAACGGAACCCGAAATATGGAGACATCATAATAAGCCTTTGTGGAAAACATGGCAGATGCAAACACTGTCATCAATTATGGATTCGCTTAATCATTCAGATGTACGTTTTGTATAGAAAGCGTTCGGTGTTATTTTAGTTAATATGATAATCATACGATTAGTTAACTGAACATGTCATATGAAAAATATTCGTTTTGTAGCTTTTGTTATGAATTACTTTAATTTTCTGAAATGTGACAATATTAATCATTCTTGTGATGAAGACTGCAAAAGTAACTTAATGAAAGGACTCTTCTGCAAATCTTAGCTTTAAATGAAACAGATGCTTAAGAATTCGTTTTTATATCGTATCGGATTTGGAAGCAAGTATTATAATAAATCGATTAAGCTAAATATACCAAAAGCATAGTAATATCATACAGATTTTGTTTTGTTTTACATTTCAATAATTTCATTGCAGGCAACAATTGACATTCTAAAAATAGACATTGAAGGATGGGAATGGGATGCACTCCCTGAAATGATACAGGGGGGAAAACTACGAAATGTGAAACAACTCTGTATTGAAATACATTTTGGATTTAGCTTCAAGCATCAAACAACGAATGGGCATATTAAACACGTTTTTACTAATAATACATGGGGAAATGTTCCCTTAAAGGGTCAACTTAAAATTCTGAAGCAGTTATACAATTATATGTTTCGAATAGTTAGAAATCAATCATTCAATTGGGGGAGGATAAAAATTGAAAACAAGATTATAAGAACGCTTAATGAATTAACACTTATAAATCTAAGGTTCTTAACGTGAAATGGTCAACGCACATGGTATACCAAATCAAACAATGTCTAATTGCAAAGATTACTAAGTAATAACTTTGTAAAAATGATATCATTTAGGTTCCAAATAAATCACATATATTTTCATAAAGATGGAATTGTTACAAACAAGTTATTTACAGCTTTATTATTGTGTTTATTTAAACAAATCTACATTGGTGATAATGTCAAACTTGAGGTATATGGTTAGGGTTAGGCAGAACAGGGTTTTTGTTAAAAGAAGCTGTACTAAACGTGGCAATCAGATTTTAAATCCAACAGGGTGATTATGAGGTTATACCACAGTTTAAAATTATGAATTTTTATGTGGAGAACACATAGAAGCAGCTCTGAAATGCCTTTGCATTTATGTATTTGAAATCACCGTGTAAATTTATTTTCAAAAATATCTTAAAAATGTACATAAGAAATAAGAAAAACATTCAGAAATTATGAAAAATACCTTACAATTGTATTTTATGAAATGTAATATGAAATATAGGCCCTTTCTTGTAGGGTAAAATCTTAGCATTGTGTTTTTGTATCAAGTCATCGGATCATGGGGATTTTTCTCAATAAATAGATAATTGGATACATATTAAGAAGTTGTACAGCTTGGTTTGTAATGATGACACGAATGATTTATTTATACTTAACAATAAAGAAAGCAAATGGTTCATACAATTAAATATTTAAGGATTACCAAAGACTTTGCCGACAACATGGCAAATGGACAATGCATATATAAATTGCTTTCCGGGCATATTGGGCCTTCTACGTATGGGTGCGAACAGTGTTTTCATTTCTAGAATTCAAAAGAAAACCAAACGTATTATTACATGTCTGGAAACATAAATTTCAAGATTTACCAACGAAAGCAATTTATGCTGACATATCCGGAAAAGTAACTCAATAGTTATAAGTATTGAAGTAACCGTACCATCACTCACTTTTAACTGTTTTCATTTGAACATCAATGTATATGTTTAAAGAAAAAGAAACTTTAGTTCATTCAATTCATAATCCATTAAAAAAATCAACCATAAAAGTATTCACATTCAATAAATATTCTAGTTGAAACATATGATTCAAATAGGAAAGGAATACGTTTGAAATATACACATTCTTCGAACTTAGTATTAAGTATCGGATGTTTCTAGCTAATCAATACAGTCAAGATATTAAACAAACACGCTCCCGTCCCGTCTGCATCAACATCAATTCCTGTACTATGTTTTTCTATTGTTTGTTAAATTTCAATGCGATTTCAATTAAGAATATCTCAACAATTTCCAAACTTAATTGCACAAAATAATCAGGTGTCAGTCAGTAAGGGGAGTTACATAAAGCTTGTACAATAGTCTTTATTAAGAAGAACACAGTTCTGTTTATTACTGTAAATATTACAGTCATTAAGTCCCTTCCTGTATTTCTTTAGATTTTAATAAATCTAGTTTTATTTTGTTTTGCTTCATAGTGTTAAAATGTTCGAAAGTACTACAGGAAAGATAAAAAATCGTTTTAAAACTTGATCCGATCGTTGACCTCTAATTTCTTCATATAAAGATATCTTTCTAAGTGGCACATTTTATTTTCATTCTTTTACCTAACTATACCAAAGCGATTGAAGTATGGACGGGGGTTGATTGAAAATATAGGTTACCACAATGGGCTCTTGCATATAATTAAGATTGTTAAAATACGACTATTTACCTCACGATACAACTGCATTGGCTCTTAGCTACTGTGAAAAAATTACTCAAATTATTACTGCAAAATGACAACATAAAAATAACAATCTAATTACCAAAACATAAAGAAGATAAAAGCATAATACGCTTAAAGTTGTTTACTGTTAAACTATGATTGTGTTTTCTTATTCGACATTCAAAGGTTTTTTAGTATATTTCGATTTCTATGCAGCCAAAGGCCACATATTCAAAGTTTTCAGATTTTAAGCAACAATTCGTTTGCTTTCTAAAACTTTAAGTAAATCTTTAACACCATAAATACAATTTTTGCGTACAACTTTGCCGAAACACAAATCATTCCGTTGCCATGAAAAAGCTCGCGTTTTATACGAATGACCTTTAATGTGTCCAATAATATCTGGGCCCGGGGTATTAAGAAACGTAATTAACGCTGAAAAGAATAATTCCTCAGACTCAAGCGTAACATTTAACCAGATCAAAAACTCTTTCAACAGGCTGTCATTCAGGATTAAACTAATTATTTCTCTACTAAGTATTTCATATGCACTTTATATATTTTATTTCTGAATTGTTCTTCTCTGTGTTGTAGTAACATATTTCATTCTTAATAAAGGTCTTTTACTGTGTTTTGTACAATTTATTTAATAGAATGGGGTTACTGTTTATAAAATTTATTCCATTCATACCAATAAGCATTAAGAAATTTTCATAAATGGTCAAAAAGTGCGAGTTCCTGACCTGTAAAATTGAATTCATACTTTAATTTTTGCTTAACATTGATATATGCGCTCATACACTTCATTTCAGCTTCCTAGTGTTGTATTGTTGCGCAGACTACGTTTACACGATTTTAAATCACTAAAATGTTATCAAAGCATGATTCTATTCTTTTGCAATGTTTGTATATTAGAGACTGAGCTTTTTGGTAAATATGAATACAATAAATGTTATGAATATAGTAAATGAATCACAGTATTCTAAACAGTATTTTAACAGCTTGATTAGCAAAAGTGTGGATCTTCACCGCAAAAGCTAATGGACAATCCTTTTCAAAAACTGTTGTATTGGACATCCCGAAAAGGTAGGCATACGTACTGAGGTACAATAATAGCTTGTACTATCAATGTTTCAGTTTTGTCTCGCTATTTGCTGTACTTTTATATTATTTTAGTTCCTTCGCTACCATTGAGTTTACATGATGTTTAGAAGATAACCCCTGAGAGGGTATAACCACATTCATATTATATGTAATATATCGATACCAATCGCATTAAACAGTTCTGTCAATATTGTCAAATATTAACATCAAATTTCTTTACTTCACTTCGTTCCGAAATGAAGTCTTAATTGCTGATACTTGCGCTGATATGGATGATTTAGATATATTGTCCGTTAATGTAAACACATATTTTTGAGACAGGGGTGATATTATTTGATATAGTATGCGCTGTATATATATCATAGTCAATATTTTAGAACTATCTTATTTCAAATATTTGTACACGAGCATTACTTACATACAATGATTACTTTCATAATATCAATGATGAAATAGGATCGGATCCGAAAGCATGCATCGCTTATAAAGATGAGTATCAATGTAAAAAATAACTGAGATAGGCAAAAGTGTCAATTTAGAGCTGAACGTAGAGAATTATAGAGTTAAAACAAGAAAGGAAATAAATCTTGCTAAAGTATGTAAATCTGGAAAATGTGTGTTCCTTCGGAAACATTTATAAAAACAAAATAAAATAGATATTGCCAACTCTGTTTGACTTAGATTGTACATGAGGGATAATGAAAAAGAGCAACATCTGTCACGCCTCCGTGCAACGACTTTAGCTCAAGTTTCAACATAAGAATGTTGATACTATTACCCTGAAAAAAGACAGAGATAAAATAACATATTGAATTTGTTGGTCAGAAAAAAGGTGAGACAGAGTCATATTATAAAAGCCACAGGAAGATCTTTGCACCACCAGGGTTGTTGCAAATTTCACTACCATTTATAAGTGTGCTTACCACTTAAAATTCATTTCACATGTTAGTTGTATGGTCAGTTCGTTATAATTGAATTAAATTAACGCTTCTAAAACTTTCAAGAAAATATCGTATGTTTTTTATTGTTCGGGCGGATTTAAGCTAACTCCGCCCGGACAAAATGCTGTCCGTATGGAAAGATGAAAATACCGGCAGCACTTTTCTCCAGATTGCACATTTTTCCAATTTGATTCCTATTTTTCTTCAGACCAATTAAATATGATAAATTAATAAATGTTTTCATTACTGCATGCTTTCTGTTTGTATTAAGTATTAAAGGAATTATTTTTTTTTAAAAGTGGACATGAGGATCGATATTTTTGTGGGTTTAATAAATACTAATAGATAATTTCTCTAATTTTCTCATTTAATGATTCTTTTTCAACCACGTTTTTTACCGAAAAAATGAACAGGTATAATACCACTCAAACAATACTTTTTAACAAAAACTACTTTGATTGTACAACTATAGTTTAGTCTCCAGAACATACCTACACATATTGAGCGCTCTTACCGATCAATGACAATGATAAAAACGATAAATTATCATTTTATCTGACAATTATTTAACGATAAGTACCAAGTATATGTAGTAGCATTTTCAATAAACATCATTTTACACGATATCTTTCATAGACTGATACTTAACTATCCAGAAAAATTGTATATTAAAACGCCACGTGAATTCAAAAGCACAAATGTACATGTTGCTATGCATTTCCTTTCTGACTCTAAATATCTTTTATTTTGCGCCCGCCAAATTTTACATATAGATACATTTTAGGAATAAGCAGTTCAAGTTTGAATTTGGCCATGGTTCAATGATTTTGGACAAAGTTATCACTCTTGAATGATGGAGAAAATTTGAATTTTTAGTTTCAGCTTTCATACTTTTGTAGAAATGTATGTAGTCATTATTTTGGCCACAATATGCTATAAATATACTATATGAATAGTTTAAAGGGCTTTGAACTAAAACTTAAAAAAAACATAGTTTGTAAAAAACCAATTTGCAACTAAATATAAAAACATCTGAAATGTCGGCTGCATGCGGGGACGGGGGCATCTGTGGCGTGACGACACATTCAGTTTTAAAACAAAATCTCATTCAATTTTTATCAGTTATTTTTTAATAAAATTTAGGACTTGCAAATTGTCATCCATTTACAGCAGTCACCATAATTTCAAGGTGCCTCTTTAGTAAAAATACTATTTCACGTTAAGGGTTGACAATCCAGTTGACTTTAACAAACGTTCCGGGCCGTGATTACTTCCCTTATCACATTTGAAATTCAAACAAGAAACATATACATGTACATGAATTGCTGATTAAAAAGACTGCCCATACTATTTAAACCAAAAATATGTCAGACCGAACTTAATATTTAGTGTTACAAAAAAAACACAATATTCAATCAACAAAACTTTAACAGCAACTGTTTCCATCAGTTCAATTTAACTTTGCTTCAGTTTAAAAAATTGCAATAAACGCATAGTCAACAAAATCAGTATTTTTTCACTGAAATGTAAAAGCCTTGCTAAATTTCCTTATTAACATGTCAATGAATTTGAGATTTTTTGCAAGTCGACACCATCTTTTAAGTTCTTTCATTTTGGCAATTCTATATATGTATGATTTATGAAAAAACTAGATTTTATCATGAGAAAACACTTGGGCTTATTTGCTCTTTAACACAATGTATCTCAATTTTTGTATTTTAATCAAATTAATCTTAAAAGAAGGCTAGGGTTAGGGCTAGGGTTAGGAATGCAAAATGTTTTTATTGGTTCATTTTGTCCCGTGGATTTTATTTAAATGTATTTGTTGATAAAGATGTTGTGGTTGTTGATTGATTGTATTAATTTTTATTCTGACCACTGATGGTGAAATT